GGACCGTTGCTGTGTCCTGCAGGGCTCCATCCCATGTGGAGCTGGCCGCTTGGGGAGATGACAAATGAAAGTCAGGCAGGATCCCTGGGAACTGGACGCAGTGAGGAATCCAGGGCTCTGTCGTCCAACCAGAACCAGAAGTGCCCATAACCAGCGTGAACCATAGCGGGGGCAGAAGTGACATCACACAGGAAGAGAAACAGTAAACTGAAGGGAGGAAACAGGCTACGAGCTCAGAGCTAACTGCTCCTTCTACTGGCCTACAGGAACCTTTTCAGAGTCACTGAGACTTTAAGTTGCATAGATCCATATGGGTGTCATTGAAAACAATGGGCTGTAACTTGTCATGCAACTTTATGTGTCCAAAGTCACATGGCAAGATGCACAAGTGTGAATGGACACTAAATCAACAAGGTTGCTTTTCATATCATAGTTTGCATTGCATTGTTGACATTTTTCTTGCATCTCACAGTTTTTTTTCATCAATTTTTGTAGCCCTCAGTTCATCAGTTTTAAAACGTGAGGTATTTGCAACTTGTATGATTTTTGCCATTTTTTGGGCTCCCCATTTTGCTCAGCTATGTCTTTGATTCTTTGCAACATTTCAGTTTCATTGTCTTTCATTTCCTTTCCTTTATTTTTTTAACTATTGATCTTTATTAAGAATTTTTTGAGTTACCAAAACAAAAAAATACAGTTGTAACAGAACCAGATAAGATTACAATAAAACATACAGTACAGAGGTCATAGTTAGCATCTCAGATATCTGATGTACTAATATTTATCAGTTGTCATGATGCTTGGCATCAAGATCCACACCTGTGTGGACAGAGTATATTTGGCTAGTAACAAAGGAAAATGTAAGGAAGTGTGGAAAGATCCCTGGATAAATTAAAGAGGAAAAGAGGGGAATTAACCGCTTGACCTCCAGAGGATTTACCCCCCTTAATGACCAGGCCTCTTTTTGCTACTCGGCGCTGCACTAAGGCTACGTTCACACTAGCCTTGTGTGCAGGCGGCAGAGAGGCGTTTGGGAAGCGTTTTTACCGCTTCCCAAATGCCTCTGCCAATTCTGCACATTACAGCACATGGTGCTTTTCTAACGGGAGCGTTTGCGTCGCGTCGCGTTGCGTCGCGGCAAAAACAGACGCCTCTGGACAAGTCAGGAGGCTTTGAAGCCTCCTATTCTCGTCTATGGTGCCGCTCCGCAAACGCCCGGCCGGCGTTTGCGGTGCGGTTGCGACGCGGTTGCGGGGCGTTTGCGGAGCGGTAACACCACTCAAACTGCATTATAGGCGTTTGTGGGGCGTTATTAACACTCGGCAAACGCCTAGCAACGGCCGCTAAACCCGCGCATGCGGCGTTTGCGGAGCGTTTGCCGAGCGTTAATAACGCTCCGCAAACGCCGGACCAACGCTTGCCAAACGCTATAGGGGCGTTTGGCAAGCGTTGGCAAAAACAGCCTAGTGTGAACGAGCCCTAATTCAACTGATAATTGCACGGTCATGCAATGCTGTACCCAAACAAAATTTACGTCCTTTTTTCACACAAATAGAGCTTTCTTTCGGTGGTATTTGATCACCTGTGCGCTTTTTATTTTTCACGCTATAAACAAAAAAAGGCCAAAAATTTTGAAGAAAAATTATATTTTTTACTTTCAGCTATATATAGTAAACTCAAAGTTGGTTATAAATTTAGGTCAAAATTTATTCTGCTACATGTTTTTGGTAAAAAAAATCCCAATAAGTGTATATTGATTGCTTTGTGTGAAGGTTATAGAGTCTAACTATGGTATAGATACTGCAATTTACGCCATTTTTTTTGCTATACAGCGCTGCGCTAGTTTAATGGACAATTGCGCGGTCATGCAAAACAGTACATAAATGAAATTTACATCCTTTTTTCCCCAAAAAATGAGCTTTCTTTCGGTGGTATTTGATCACCTGTGCGGTTTTTATTTTTTGCGCTATAAAAAAAAGGCTGACAATTTTGAGGGAAAAAAAACAACATTTTGGACTTTTTGCTATAAAACATGTCCAGTAAAAAAAAAATTAAAAATCAAATTTAGTCATAAATTTCTGCCAAAATGCATTCTGCAACATGTCTTTACTAAAACAAAACCCAATACGTGTAAATGAATTGGTTTACGTGAAAGTTATACTGAAATATTTAGGGTTTTTTTATACTAATAATGGCGACGATCAGAGACTTATGGCGGCGATCAGCGACTTATGGTGGGACTGCGGCGGACATTCTGACATTGGGGGGTACTGACTTGGGGTCACTGACATCCCCAGTGACACCAATACAGTGATCAGTGCAAAAAAAAACCACTGACACTGTACTAATGGCACTGGGGAGGAAGGGGTTAAGTTTATTATTCAGGGAAAAGGTTAACTGTGTGAGGGGAGTGTTTTACTAGGGGGTGGGGTGTGTACTGCAGGGAACACCACTGATCGGGAGAGAGAAACTCTTCTGTCCCGATCAGCGTGTCCTGGAGCTGTCAGAGAACTGACAGAAAGCACAGCTACTGCAGCTGTGCTCTCTGTTAGTGATTGCCGCCGATCGCCGGGACATAGCCGGTAACGACCGGCTCTGACCCGGCGACTGACATCTGCGGCTGTGATCGGCGGGACAGGTAGGGCGGCGGCGCGCCTCGCGCGCGCCCCCTACCAGTTTTAAAAAGACACGTTTTAAAACGTGCTTTTGCCCAGCCGTGACGCCCTGCCGCCGTATTTCTACAGTGGCTGAGCGCCATGTGGTTAAAAGTGGAAAGTTACAACAACGAACAAAAAATAATGTGTACAGTAGGTCTCATCATCCATCATAGAAGTAGTTATTGAATTTAATGGTACATATAATACTGTGTCATGTTCCAAGTGAAAAAGGTAAGATTAGAAAAGGTTTTAAATATGATTATATACAATAGAAACTTAACAAGAAATTCACATACTGAAGGGAAAAAAGACTGTGTAATTTAGACTGAACATCTAATGTCTGCTATCCAACAAGTCCAATTGTTGTACATTTTTTTGTCAAGCATTGTGTATGTAGGCAAACATACTTTCAAAAGATGTGTGCAAATTACGAGTGTTCATGACTAGATAATGATGGAGCTTTCTTCTATTTCCAAGCTCTAGCCAATGCCAGTCTTGCAGCTAATACTGCATGCAAAAGTCCCCCCACACTATCTGTCAGATTTGCAAACAGCACGACCGTGTAATTTTTTCAAGGACTTCTGTGAATTAATGAACTGCAAGTCCCAACAGCCTTAGCGGCTGTGGGCTTGTAGTTTTCAATGAACTACCACGGTGCTGTGGAGCACCGCGGTGCTGTGGAGCACCGTGGTAGTTCATTGAAGCTTCCTGTCAGAATATCTGCTTGGCTGTGCATCCCATCACTGTACAGAAGCAGATATTCTGACAGGTCTGCAGGAGACCTCCATGGCAATCTACTGAAAAAAAAAGTTATAATCCTATACCCACAGTTGATCCAGAGGAAGGCAAAAAAAAACCCAGCAAAAACATGATCTAATTTGCTCCTGCAGGGTAAAAAAAAATTCCTTTCTGATCCCCCGAGAGGCAATCAGATATTCCCTGGATCAACGTTACCTATAAATGGTAGTATACAGTTATATTCTGTGCATCCAAGAAAGAATCCAGGCCTTTTTTAAAGAAATCCACTGAGCTGGCCAGAACCAACTCTTGAGGAAGACTATTCCACATTTTCACAGCTCTCACTGTGAAGAAACCTTTCCGTGTTTGGAGATTACGTTTCTTTTCCTCCAGACGTAAAGAGTGCCCCCTTGTCCTCTGTGATGACCTCAGGGTGAATAGCTCTACACCGAGTTCACTATATGAACCACTGATGTATTTATACATGTTGATCATATCCCCCCTTAATCTCCTCTTCTCAAGAGAGAATAAATTCAGTTCCTCTAATCTTTCCTCATAGCTGAGCTCCTCTGTGCCTCTTATCAGTTTGGTTGCCATTCTCTGTAATTTCTCCAGTTCCCCAATGTTCTTTTTGTGAATTGGTGTCCAAAATTTAACTGCATATTCCAGATGAGGTCTTACTAATGATTTGTACAGGGGTAATATGATCTCTCTCTCTCAGGAGTCTATACCTCTTTTAATACAAGAGAGGATTTTGCTCACTTTAGAAACCGCAGCTTGGCATTGCAGGCCATTATTAAGCTTGTGATCTACCAGAACTCCCAGATCCTTCTCCACCATTGATTTCCCCAGTTGTACTCCCCCTAGTATGTATGATGCATGTTCTTAGCCCCCAAGTACATAACCTTACATTTATCAACATTAAACCTCATTTGCCACATACTTTCCCAATTAAACAGTGCATTGAGGTCGGCTTGTAAATTGGAGATATTGGAGACATCCTGTAAGGACGTTATTCCACTGCACAGCTTGGTGTCATCTGCAAAGACTGAAATGGGATTTTTAATCCCAGACCCTATATCGTTTATAAATATATTAAAAAGTAAGGGTCCCAACACTAAACCTTGGGGTACACCACTGACAACCCTAGACCATTCAGAGTATGAATCATTAATCACTACTCTCTGAATACGATCTTTTAGCCAGTTTTCTATTCATTTACATATGGATTTTTCCAAGCCTGTAGACTTTACCTTACACATTAGCTGTGTGTGGGGAAACTGTGTCACACGCATTTGCAAAATCCAAGTATACCACATCCACCACCACCCCTCTGTCCAAGGTTTTGCTCACCTCCTCATAAAAAGAAATCAGATTTGTTTGACAACTTCTGTCCTTCATGAATCCATGCTGTCTGTTGCTTAAAATATTTTTTTCCAGCAAGAATTTATCTATGTGGTTTTTTATTAAACTCTCCAGTATCTTCTCAACTATAGAAGTTAACCACCTTTCGCCCGTCCTATAGTACAAAGATGGGCGCAAGGTGGTTTGCTCGTTCTGATAGGACATCATATGACGTCCTACCATTCTCACTACGCATGCGCGGCTCAGGGAGCACACAACGTGGCGATCGCCGGTGCGCTGTGTCCCTCGGACACAGCAGATCACAGAAAGAGCCGAAGATGTCGGCTCCGTCATGTGATAAGCTGTGTCCAATCACAGCTGATCACATGTAAACACGAAAATGCCGGTTATCGGCATTTCTCTCCTCTTGAGCTGTCACGCTGACAGCTCAAGAGGAGAGAAGAGCCTGTAATCGGCTTTCCGCGGAGGGGACATGTACACTGATCATCAGGGCACTGATGATCAGTGTGCCCTGATGATCAGTGTGGCCCCAGAAGTGCCACCTGTCAGTGCTCATGAGTGCCACGTGCCAGTGCCCATCAGTGCCACGTGCCAGTGCCCATCAGTGCCACATCAATGCCACATATCAGTGCACATCAATGCCATATATCAGTGCCCATCTGAGCTGCCTTTCAATCTCACCCATCAGTGCCAGTCACTGCCACCTATCAATGCCAGTCGGTGCCACCTATCAGTGCCACATATCAGTGCCAGTCAGTATCGCCTATCAGTGCACATCAGTGCCAGTCAGTGCCGCCTATCAGTGCCGCCTATCAGTGCCAGTCAGTGCCGCCTAACAGTTCCGCCTATCAGTGCCATATATCAGTGCCATGTATCAGTGCCCATCAGTGATGCCTGTCAATGCCCATCAGTGCAACCTACCAGTGCCTCCTCATCAGTGCTCATCAGTGCCACCTATCAGTGTAGCCTATCAGTGCCCATCACTGCAGCCTCATTAGTGCACATCAGTGAAGGAGAGAAAAATCACTTATTTACAAAATTGTATAACAAAAACTAAGAAAAAATGTTATTTTTTTTCAAAATTTTCAGTGTTTTTTGGTTTGTTTAAGAAAAAATAAAAATCCCAGAGGTGATTAAATACCACCAAAAGAAAGCTCTATCTGTCTCAAAAAAATTATAAAAATTTCATATGGGTACAGTGTTGCATGACCGCGCAATTGTCATTCAAAGTGTGATAGCGCTGAAAGCTGGAAATTGTCCTGGGCAGGAAGGGGGTATAAGTGCCCTGTAGGCTAGAGGTTAAACTAACAGGTCTATAATTACTAGATGTGATGACTATATTAGTTTCCTTTTTTAAGCTTTCTTACTTCTATTTTCATCTGATGTTTCAACCAATAAGTCTGCTGTGTTTCAGAATCTCAAGCTCCAGCAGAATGTATTAGTTTACATGGATGAGACAATCGATTTACCACTAACGGGTGATTGCAATGATCAGCTTTTATTTTTTAATGCACAACTTTTATCCCAAAAGGAAAACAAACTGTTTGCTGCATATAAAGTGGGAGTTAGAGTTTGGCTTCAGTTTGTTATTTCATTCATACCTGCTAATACATTTAACACTCACAACCTCCCCCTTCCCCCAGACTGACAATGCTGCTGATTGCTATGCCCTGTGCTAATTCATCCACAGTGGTGTGTCACTAATACAGGAGGCGTGTTACTGGTCAGATCACCAAGTAAAAAAGAAAGGAGAAAAAAATAAAACAAAAAACAAATTCAGTCACCAGATTTACTGATTGGTAAGCTGCAATATATTACAGTTTTGGTTTTAGGTTTAATACCACTTTAATTTTTGGAGGCAGCAGACCAATTACTAGATACATAGGGGTGCAAGTTTCCCTGTAGAGGGAGAATATTTGTTGTGTCAGGCATCATGCACATGAAGGTGTCATTATGAGTATTTTTTTTTTTGTTAGAAAATTAGAAGCTTAATAGGATATTCCCATTTATACGAAATGTTCTGCTCATGGAGAATATTAGTTACATACTTAAATTCTTTACCTTTCTTGATGTAGCAATGTCTGCAAACATAGAAATAATATTGCAAACATAGAAATATGCTTATATGGCTCCAGAAGTGTTTGAAGTTTCCTGGAAGCAGACATGAGGTGATCTTTTATATGAAAAAAGTGTACTCTAATACATCTCTGGGCACTGCTGGTGGAATATGTTTTGGTTTCACAATCCCATGTGCTCTCCCAATTATAAGCTCATGTTGAGAGCTCAAAGGGATAATGGCTTTAAAAAACTGTTGAAGATAGAGAATCAGCTCAGCTGGGGAAATGTCCTCAGGTATGCCTCTGAATTTGATGTTATTTATTCTGACCTTTCCTCCAGATCAATGACTTTATATCTGAGCTTTTCTATTTCCTGAGCTTGTGAGTGATAAGCATCAGCTAATTTGTTAAAAGCCAAAGCATATTCCCCATTTTCCTTTCCACACAATCTGTTCTTTCCTCGATCACGATCAATTTGTGTCTGCATATGGGTGACAGCAGGTTGCAAGCCGTGTGTTTCCCTGGTCAGGGATAGCAGCATTTGTTTTATTGTGTTTTCAGTAGCTGGTGCATCAGAATCAGGGAGGTCCACCAACAGGCAGATGGAATCAGACTGTTCAGGAATGGTAGTAAAAGATAAAAGTAGAGATACTGTAACTTCTTACTTACAGGTCCCTTGCAGAGGGTGTGTGTGAGGGTTTGCAGAGGAGATGAGGTAGGTCATTTCCCCATATATTTAACCACTTGACCTCCAGAGGATTTACCCCCTTAATGACCAGGCCTCTTTTTGCTACTCGGCGCTGCACTAATTCAACTGATAATTGCGCGGTCATCATGCAATGCTGCACCCAAACAAAATTTACGTCCTTTTTTTCACACAAATAGAGCTTTCTTTCGGTGTAATTTGATCACCTGTGCGCTTTTTATTTTTCACGCTATAAACAAAAAAAAGCCAAAAATTTTGAAGAAAAACAATATTTTTTTACTTTCAGCTATAAAAAATATATAGTAAACTCAAAGTTGGTTATAAATTTAGGCCAAAATGTATTCTGCTCCATGTTTTTGGTAAAAAAAATCCCAATGAGTGTATATTGATTGCTTTGTGTGGAAGTTATAGCGTCTACAAACTATGGTATAAATACTGCAATTTACGCCATTTTTCTGCAATACAGCGCTGCGCTAGTTTAACGGACAATTGCACGGTCATGCAATACGGTACATAAATGAAACTTACATCCTTTTTTCCCCACAAATTGAGCTTTCTTTTGGTGGTATTTGATCGCCTGTGCGGTTTTTATTTTTTGCGCTATAAAAAAAAGGCTGACAAATTTGAGGAAAAAAAACAATATTTTGGACTTTTTGCTATAAACACATGTCCAGTAAAAAATGCAAAAATCAAATTTAGACATAAATTTCTGCCAAAATGCATTCTGCGACATGTCTTTGCTAAAAAAAAAAACCAATACGTGTAAATTAATTGGTTTACGTGAAAGTTATAGCGTTTACAAATGGCGGGAAAGATACTGGGATTTTTAGGGGTTTTTTTATACTAAGAATGGCGGCGATCAGCGAATTATGGCGGCGATCAGTGACTTATGGCAGCGACCAGCGACTTATGGCGGGACTGCGGGACTGTGGCGGACATTCTGACATTGGGGGGTACTGACTTGGGGTCACTGACATCCCCAAAAACACTAATACAGTGATCAGTGCAAAAAAAAAAAACACTGACACTGTACTAATGGCACTGGGGAGGAAGGGGTTAACTTTATTTTGCAGGGAAGGGTTATCTGAGTGAGGGGAGTGTTTTACTAGGGGGCGGGGGTGTGTGCTGGACGGGACAAGGCTGATCGAGAGAGAGAAACTCTTCTTTCTCGATCAGCTCATCCTCGAGCTGTCAGGGAAGTGACAGACAGCACAGCTACTGCAGCTGTGCAGTTTGTCACTGTTTGCTGCCGATCGCCTGGAAACAGCCGGTAAAGACCGGCTGTGACCCGGCGACTGACATCCGTGGCGGTGATCGATGGGACAGATAGGGCGGCGGCGCGCCTCGCACGCGCCCCCTATCTGTTTACAAAACACGCATTTTAAAACGTGGTTTTGCCAGCCAATGCTGCCCTGCTGCCGTATTTCTACAGTGGCAGGGTGGCAAGTGGTTAAAGGAGAAGCAGGGTCTGTAATGTTTTCCTCCTCAGCCAACAGGGAACTGGAAGCTTCCATGGGCGGTGTCACTGGAAACTGTGGGGTAGATTTGCTAAAACTCGAGAGGGCAAAATTTGGTGCAGCTGAGCATAGTAACCAATCAGCTTCCAGTTTTTATTTTGGCAAAGCTTAATTGAATAAGCTGAAGTGAAAAGCTGATTGACTAACATACACAGCTGCACCAGATTTTGCACTTTCTAGTTTTTAGTAAATCAATCCCTGTGTGTCAAGCCTATGAGCCAGGACCATTTTGGCTGTTCTCTGCCTCAGGCTGTGCAAAATAAATCAGTCAATTTTCTTGCTTCCTAAGTTGCAGCTTTCCCTCTCGTGGTTTCCTCTGGTTTGTGGGAAGAATCCAGGTGTAAAACAAGGTCGTCAGTGTGCCTACAGACGCTGTGGGGTTTATTTACTAAAAATGGAGAGTGGAAAATCTGGTGCAGCCCTGCATAGAAAGCAATCAGCGTCCAGATTTGTTTTAATCAAAGCTCAATTGAACAAGCTGAAGTAAGGAGCTGATTGGCTACCGTGCACAGCTGCACCAGATTTTAGTAAATCAACCCAGGTGTGTTACTAGAAATTTGGGTCTGGGCAGAAGAATGGACAACCCAGACTGCCATTCTGAGACAATAGTACTTAAAAATGCATGAATAAATGTCAGAAGCACGTCCCTTAACATATGTATACACAAGTTTTATTTCACAAACCTGCACTCAACACAAGACAAATGCTACTATACTGCCAATACACGCTCATAAATGAGCCCTCAAAATTGCTTTCACATATATACACACAACTTGTGTGAATCAAAGTCAGATTCCAAACAAACAAAAGAAACAATATTCCTTTATGGAAAAACAACAGTTCTATCTGCTTTGCTACATTTTCACATACTTTGAAAATATTCACCACATTTCCAGTCTTCCCAGAATTTGTGATGTGAAAGATCCAGTTGACTTTACAATGAGATCCTTACAGCAAGTCTGGTTGGTCCTTTATCCAACTTTCATTAAACCTTCAAAAACACAAAGCAGAGCAATTCTGTCCTATAGGTTCTATATTGATTTTAACATTTTTTACTCCGTTTCTAGGGTGCAAAATATAAAATGCCCAGTGGGATCTTAAAATATGGGTTTGGGTTACTCACAAATAGGAATGTATAGGAATTCTGATGACAATGGAGAGACAAGGAGGTTAAGGTGATGAATGGCAGCAAGAGGAAAAAATTTACCCTTTGGGCTAGCATACTTATTCTCACTACAGTTCCCCACACACAAGCCCTCTTCGTGGAACACTCTTATCAGGCAGGTCCTAGAAACTCACATCCTTGCTTGCTGGATTAAAAGAGACGTATGGGATTATTATTTTTTTTTAAATCATACTTAGCTAGATTTCCCCAGATGGCTCTTAGGCTGAGAACTGAGTGACCAACACTGATGATCGCTCAGTTATCCCCGCCACTCTAATCAGAGAGCATTGACAACAT